CTGTGACCCTCATTTTGGGGTAAGGGTCTGGGTTGTAAGATCGAGCTCCGCCGTTGGAGGGCGCAACAGATGAACTCATGGGCTGAACCATCCACTGCAGGTCCGGGCATGAAGAGATCGCGGTTACGGTTGGCACGAAAGAGGCACTTGAGACACTCAGGTCTGTGAACTCCTAAAATGCAAATAAGAAATAATTTAATATATGGCAGGTATTGTATATTATTAAAAATGTATATTTAAAAAATATATACTGTATATAGTAGGCCTATGTTATATATAATATAGTCTAGTAATACATTAAAAAAAACATTATTACTCATACTTTGAACACTATACATAAACTATAAATAAACTACAAAATAAATAATCACTTATGCTGAATAATTCTAAATGAATAATGATAATTGTCATAAATACCTTAGTCTGGTTGAGCGGGTAATACGCGACGCTCTCGCCGCTCGGCGACGCCGTGCTGCACCGGGAAGACGCGTCACAGTCGGCGTTAAGGCTAGTGAACATCATCCTGTCCAGTGTCGAGAAGCAAGAGCTATCCAGCGCTAATATATCCAGAAAGTTAAAGAGGTTTCAAAAGCCGCGGTCTGCTAGTTCCCTGTTCGTCTGCTGTTCTTCTCTCTGTCGGTATGCAAAGTTTGACTGCCGAGTTACAGCGCTCGCGGGGTTTATATGGCAGTCTGTGACTGACGTCAAAGGGAGGGCGGTGCGACGCGCTGCCAGTGTTTGCATAGAAACATTAGAAAACACGTCTTCGTGAGCGCGTTTTGCTGGATACGTAATCAATACATTACTCATACAAACTTATAACCTTAATACATAACAAAATGTTTGCAAAAAGCGTTCGTAGATGAATATTCTGAAAGAAAACGAAGTGGAATACATGACGTTAGCAGGGTATCCCACGACGTCATTTACCTTATATGGAAAACATCCTGAAGAGGCGGAGTGCTGATGGGAAACACTCTGTGCAGTGTAAAGCATTAAGTACAGATACTTCGAGAATACTTCATTGTTTTCATAAACAACTTATAAACTACAGCAGTATTCAATTATGTTATCAGTTCTAATGTCACCGCATTACTATAAATGCAGTTAGTGTAATTACATTAAATTCGTATAATTTTAATGCAAAACTATTTAATTCAAACTTCAAATGCTTTTTAATTACAGTTCAAGTTCAAGCTATGTTTATTAAAAAATATTTTTTATTTTATTAAAATAATTTTATTTTGGTAATAGGTATTGGTTTTGCGGAATGACCCTGCATATGGCCCTTTTCCCTTCATGAGAATCACAGATCAGACACCAGAGGCGGATCTGCCGGGAAACACTTGGACGGTGGACAGAAGGGAGGCCCCACTCACACGCCCTCATGTGAAAACAGGATTACCTCATCTGAGCTATGAATAGAGATTTTCACACAGGTTATTGAGAAGAACAACGGCGTTTTCTTCCAGTCCGAGTGCGAATTAACACATAGAAAGCCTTTGGGTTTTTTTGTGCATATCCTTAACATGATAGACAGAATAATGTTATGAAATCGACAACTTTATTTGAAAAAGAAAAAAAAAGCTTAAAACACATACTTAGATAATTTTGGCTACTTGGCGAAGATGTCGTCATAAGAATGTCATTGAATTAAGTGTGATATGATAAAAATAGGCTGTGCCGCAGTATCGCTGCAGCTAGCGGCTCCACACCGGATGTGCCTTATATGGTCAAGACACGCTGCTCTCTGATTGGCTGCCCACATTAGCGACAGGGCTGTTGCTGGAGCTCTCTGAGTGGGAGATCCATCATTGTAATTGACAAGGGACGTCATTTACCTTATATGGAAAACATCCTGAAGAGGCGGAGTGCTGATGGGAAACACTCTGTGCAGTGTAAAGCATTAAGTACAGATACTTCGAGAATACTTCATTGTTTTCATAAACAACTTATAAACTACAGCAGTATTCAATTATGTTATCAGTTCTAATGTCACCGCATTACTATAAATGCAGTTAGTGTAATTACATTAAATTCGTATAATTTTAATGCAAAACTATTTAATTCAAACTTCAAATGCTTTTTAATTACAGTTCAAGTTCAAGCTATGTTTACCTGACACTTAATGTTCTTAGATTTCATACTTTCTGCGAAGCACAGAACATTAATGGCCTCGGGCTGTGTTCGTGCCTCTGAGTACTGAAAGGCGTGTCTGAAGAGCAACATACAACAAACACGAAGAATTCCTGTTTGAACTGCCTTCGCGCGTTAAATGAGATTCCTTTGTAATAAAATGCTGAGTTCGTTTGAGTATTGCGTCACTGGACCAAATATACATCAAATATAACAAATACATCAAATATAAATTAAAACGTGTGTGTATGCATATACATCATATGTGTGTGTGTGTGTATAATATATATATATATACACACACACAGGCCTACATACATTTTTAAGCAACGTGACCAATGTCTATTTGGACATATTTTGGACATTAATTTCCCGCCATTAGCTACGGGTAAACATGACCGAAGCCGATGGTTTTGTTATTGATTAACAAACGAAAACAGCTCTATCAGCGTTCCCATGTGATGTCACATTTTACTGTTCTACTTCTGTGTTCTGTTTTGTTTGATCTTCCGCGTTGTCTAAGCGACGCCCCTCCCACTGACGTCACTGCAACCCGCGCCTCTGCAAATGTACTCGGAAGTTTCGCCTTTTAACAACGAAAAGTCTGTTAGCAATATTGACAGTAAATAAACATAATGCAATGATTGTGTCCACTCTAGGAAAGCTAAAAATAGCAACATTAACTTAAATGTCACTGTCATCCTTTTTTCTTTAAGAATGTGAACAGGAATATGTGTCTGAGAAATACTGGACTTATTAGTTTCTGACATTAATTGTTCAATGCAACTGCTCGTATTGCATTGATGCCTTTTCTTTTTTCAGAATGTGATTAAAAAAAAAAAAAAAAAAAGGATTTTAAACATTCTGTCTAGAAATTAGGCCTGCATTGTACAATCTCACGCTGAGTATGCTGAGTATTAGGATATAACTATGCCTTTTTATTTAGTTTATTTAGCCATTGCTAGCCTTCTGCTCAAGGTCATGAGAGCACAATGTGTTTTTAGAAATAGAATTGAATGCTAATATCTCTACACATATCCAGTTTTTGATGATTAATGTTTATGATTATTTTTAATGATCAATTATTCATTGTGCAAAATCATGGTAACCGACCCCTGTGATTATTTCTGATCACCTTGTGAGAGACCTAACGCGGCGTTTTCTTCCAGTCCGAGTGCGAATTAACACATAGAAAGCCTTTGGGTTTTTTTGTGCATATCCTTAACATGATAGACAGAATAATGTTATGAAATCGACAACTTTATTTGAAAAAGAAAAAAAAAGCTTAAAACACATACTTAGATAATTTTGGCTACTTGGCGAAGATGTCGTCATAAGAATGTCATTGAATTAAGTGTGATATGATAAAAATAGGCTGTGCCGCAGTATCGCTGCAGCTAGCGGCTCCACACCGGATGTGCCTTATATGGTCAAGACACGCTGCTCTCTGATTGGCTGCCCACATTAGCGACAGGGCTGTTGCTGGAGCTCTCTGAGTGGGAGATCCATCATTGTAATTGACAAGGGACACGAAAAATCGCAGTTTTTAATAGAAAGGGCGCGGTTGAAGTATCACAACAATTATTTCATTGTTTAATTCTCATCCTTTGGCATACATACTCTTTGAATAACACTTTCTTACACTGATGATGTCAAATGCAGTGTGTATGTTTTGTTGTTTATTTCTCTCAATTATGCCTCGTGAGGCAATCACGCGCTTGCAGATGAACCATCTTTAAAATATAAATCTCTATAATATGCATAAATCGCAACCTCACACAGGAATGCAAAAGACAGGCTGCAAACAAGGCACGTAAAATGACGTATCTTGTTCATTCATGTGAAAGCTGCAGCGTCAAAATGAAAGAAAATAACCTCGGTTTACGCATTGGACGCTTTATTTGAATGCCTAAAACGTTGAATCAAAGCGAGAATTGTTTTGAGTCAGGCATATCTGTGAAATGCCGTATATATATTTGGCTCGTGCTTAACTGTCTCCCCTCCGGATCAGTGGTACAGTCTCACAAATTTCATTCATAAAAATCTGCCTCACTATAAAGAGAAGCAGCGTTGATGGCTGGTGCCTCCTAGTGTAGTAACCTCAATCCAGATTTAAAAACCCTGCAGAATAGCATTTGGTGACATTAGTCACATATTAATCTGGTTCCCAGCATCTCCTGGAGCGATCTAGCAGAAGTGATGCCTAAAAACGCGAGTGTTTCTCAGGTGTCTGCAGAACAGCTGCTGCACACATCAGCTTCTGAGATGAAGGATACGCAGGTACAATCAATTGCATGTTTACCTGGAATGTAACCTAAATGGACTATTTATAAGAGCTGTGATTGAAAAAGGATTTTAAACATTCTGTCTAGAAATTAGGCCTGCATTGTACAATCTCACGCTGAGTATTTAAAATGCTAGGATATAACTATGCCTTTTTATTTAGTTTATTTAGCCATTGCTAGCCTTCTGCTCAAGGTCATGAGAGCACAATGTGTTTTTAGAAATAGAATTGAATGCTAATATCTCTACACATATCCAGTTTTTGATGATTAATGTTTATGATTATTTTTAATGATCAATTATTCATTGTGCAAAATCATGGTAACCGACCCCTGTGATTATTTCTGATCACCTTGTGAGAGACCTAACGACATATGTAATAATAGATGTGCTAAAAAAAGAAAGCATGTAAATGTCCTTGAGGAATTCATATCCTGAAAAGATGATGATGATTTGTGACATCATGTTTTTATGTATGAAGTTGGAGAACAGGCCAATAATAGCTTCCTCGTTGAGAAAGAACAAAAACTATTAATATATATATATACATTTGGTGACATTAGTCACATATTAATCTGGTTCCCAGCATCTCCTGGAGCGATCTAGCAGAAGTGATGCCTAAAAACGCGAGTGTTTCTCAGGTGTCTGCAGAACAGCTGCTGCACACATCAGCTTCTGAGATGAAGGATACGCAGGTACAATCAATTGCATGTTTACCTGGAATGTAACCTAAATGGACTATTTATAAGAGCTGTGATTGATGATTTATGCTTATGTGATGATTTCATATTTTTTTGAATACAACCAAATGATTGATGTAAGTTGTATTAAAATGCAATTTTGCTATGGACCATATATGATGAACACGTTTTCGTGCTCGTTCTCAGAAGACAGGTATTCTGAAGGATGCTGATGCTCCCTTTGTTCCAACGGTCACTGTTGTAGCTTCAGCTCCAGATCTCAAGTGGATGGTCCTGTCGACTGACATCTCCTCAGTGTCGCCCTGCAGACACGAGAAACCACAGAGCTCGTCTCACTCCACAGATGCCAAACCAGCTCAAAAGACCTTCACTGGCCGGAGGAAGGGGGTGAAAGATCAGGTAAATAAATACCTATTTAATATAAATGCTCAGTATATAAATTTGATTTTTGTTTAAATGCAGCTTGGTTTTCTGAAGAAATCCACATTCAACTGACTGTAGAAAACATATATTTACATCCATGATATACTAGTATATTGCCCTGTTACATTCTTTAAAACAAAGGTTCTTGGCATCTATGGTTCTATTAAGAACCTTTAACATCCATGGAACCTTTCAATTACACAAAAGGTTCTGGAAAAAAAGGTTCTTCAGATGGTTCTTTTTATGGTTCTTTTAAGAACCTTTGGGTTCTTTGGGGAGCCTAAAATGCTTCTAAAGCATCACTTCTTCCTCAACTTCCTCATGGAACCTTTATTTTTAAGAATTTAATTTTAAGTAAAAATATGCATGCATTTCTTAATTTAGTATGCATTTGCTGTCACTCAATTATGCTTATATTAACCGCCATTAAAAAAAAAAACATAGTGTTTGATCATTATACAATATGCATATGGCTTTTAATCAAACTCACAGTGCATTCCATACTAATTAGATTTAATGTCGATTAATAAAAAAATATGTTTTCCCTGGGAATTGAACCCACAAACTTGGGTTTGCTATATATTTATTACACACACACACACACACACACACACACACACAAAAAATATATATATATATTTGTGTGTGTGTGATAATGGTTATTTTACAATATTACTGTTTTTTAACAAATGAACTGTGCCTTGGCGAGCATTATTCCAATATATAAATGTGCATGTGTTTATTTCAGCTTTCTCCAGAGGAAGAGGAGAGGAAGAGGATCAGAAGAGAAAGGAATAAACTCGCAGCTGCCAAGTGTCGAAATCGCAGACGAGAACTAACCAACAGCCTCCAAGCTGTAAGTTTGCAAACCACCATAATATGCAGTCGTCTTAAAAAAAAAAAAAGATTACTTTGTGCGTGATATGATTATAATCGGCCTATGTCTAGGAAACCGATAGTCTCGAGGAGGACAAAGCAGCTCTGCAGTCTGAGATTGCCAGTCTGTTAAAAGAGAAAGAACGACTTGAACTCATCCTCTCTGCTCACAATCCCCATTGTAAACTCACGGAGGAAGAGGTGGCAGAGAGTGAGGAACAAACCCAAGCCCAGGAGGAGCAGATTCAAGCTCCTAATGTCTGCCCAGATCAGGCACCCACCTCCCCTCAACAGGCCGACCCCACCAGCACTGCGATCTTTGGCGACTCTGATGTCCTTCTGTGTTCCAGTGCCGAACTGGGAGCCGCTGAGGTGGAACCGTACATCGATATGCGAGATGTGTCCATGAAAGACATTAGCGACATGATTGACAGCGGCGATGACATGGATCTGTTAGTGCCAGATATCGACCTTACTAGCTCTCTGGGCCTAAGCGAATGGGAGACCCTTTACATGTCAATGGGTGGCGGGTTGGAACCACTCAGCTCGCCTTCATGCAGCCCCACCTGTAGCAGCACCAACGCCGTGCCCGTCTTCAGCTTCAACAATGCAGATGTGGAGAAGCATGACAGTGTCAAAGAGGGCGAATCTAATGCAGCCAAAGAAATCTTGACGACTTTATGAAGCTTCTGGCACATCGTTCTTATAAAGGTTCCAAAATGGGGTTTTCACAGTGATGTCTAGGTACTTTATTGGCATTTATGGTTCCATGAAGAACCTTTGGAACCTTTCCATTGTACAAACACTCTTTATAGTGGAAAAAGGTTCTTTAGATGAATACGTTCTTCTCACTAAGAAAAAATAGATCTTTTAATAACTGTTCAATAAAAAATAGTTCCTCTATGGCGTTGCTGTGGAAGACCCACTTTTGGATCCTTTATTTTTAAAAGTGCTGAAGAACCTTTCAGTGAACAGTTCTTTAAAAAGACTGATCTTTGTTGCCATCTACGGTTCCATGAAGAACCTTTAAAATCAATGGAACCTTTCCATTGCACAAAAGGTTCTTTAGAGTAATAAAACGTTCTTCACATTATATGAAAACAATGGTTCTTTTAACAGTTGTTTGTTGAAAGGTTCTTTGGGGAACCCAAAATGGTTATTCTATGGAATCGCTTGGAAAAAACCCTTTTGGAACCTTTATATTTTGGGTTCCCCAAAGAACCTTTCAATGAACAGTTCTTAAAAACACAATTTTTTTTTTCTTAGTGTGAAAAACATTTTAATATTTCAAAAAAATATTTTTTTCCGACAATAAAGAACTTTTTGTGGAATGGAAAGGTTCCATGGATGTTAAACATTCTTCATGGACCATCAATGCCAATAAAGAACCTTTATTTTTAACAGTGAAATAATCTGAGAAAGAAGGGTGTGCTGTGAAATATTATGAAAATGCTTTCATAAATGAGTCTGACATGTTCAACATTTACAAAAAATATAGTGAATGCTGTGCAGTAGATGTAATGTGACCCTTACATCCAGTGAAGTCACTATAGTCACTATTTGTTTCTTCCAGATGTTGGCATTGTTGAATATGTTGTTCATCCTGTGAAAGACATGCTTTCATGCACATTTGTACCATAGGTACGTGTAACTGTATCAGTTGGTGTGGTGATGTACAAGTGCAGTCTGTTACACCGTGTCTTTAGTGTGTGACTAACTGTTTTTTGGTATTGTCAAAATAATAATAATAATAATAATAATCTGACCATGGTGGCAAAAAAAAACTTTATGCATTTTTTTTGTTCTTCCTGCTTCCTTTTCAGTGGTCTGGCATGTTTATAATAAACAAACAATAAATGTTAAAATTAAGAAATGTGTGGATTTATTTATTTAATCCGAGTGGGGCAGACATTTAAAGCCTCTCTTTCAAGCACTTGGAGTTTCTTTCATTCGCATGCACGGAAATGAATGCATCGTTTCAAATAAAAATAAACATTCACCCACGTCTATTATCATTTCATTGAGTTTCGTGATCCATCTTTTTCTAAGAAATCTGTGTAATAACATTCACCAACAACGATTTCTCGATACCAAGGCTGTTGTCACGGTCGGAACGTTCTCTCTAAAAGCCTGGGACGCAACGTAAAGCGTCTGACGTCAATGCGTATGTGCACGCACGCATTTTTTTTTTTAATCTCTCGGTTCTACTTCCGTGCCCATATTTGGTAATGAAATCGATCTGTTGTTCTGCCTCTATGGAAACAGCAGAGTAGTGTTTCACCAATGAAAGTTTTCCCGGAAGATCTGGTAGAGAGAGAGGAGCGGCTGCGGAGAGAAGCTGTCGGTATGTTACTGGAACTGTTTTGTGTTTTTCAGGACTTCATTTGGGTATCCAGCGTACATTTTAAGCATTTTACATACGTTCATATTCTTATAAAATGGCCACTGCTCTTGTTGCAAAGTTTTAATAATATCCGATGAAAACATTGTATGGCTAAAACCCTCTTGCACTCTTCATTTGAGCTTTTAAACTCTTGTTTTTTAAATTAAACACTACTTATAAGAACTAAATTATTTATAGCAATGCATTGTTTATTTTTTATTTATTTATTTATTTTGGATTACCTGCAGTATATTGTGAGTCCAAAAGTCCAAGGCCACATGAGAAAACGCTTCTATTTTGCAGTTTAATAACATTCTTGTTGCAAAGTTTTAATAATATCCGATGAAAACATAGTATGGCTAAAACCCTCTTGCACTCTTCATTTGAGCTTTTAAACTCCTGTTTTTTAAATTAAACACTACTTATAAGAACTAAATTATTTATAGCAATGCATTGTTTATTTTTTATTTTTTTATTTTGGATTACCTGCAGTATATTGTGAGTCCAAAAGTCCAAGGCCACATGAGAAAACGCTTCTATTTTGCAGTTTAATAACATTTACTTTATAAATTGTATTATTATAACAACAATTTTAGTGAGAAGTTGAAATGAAAAAATCAGTAGCCTATGTAACAAATGTGTTGAATATGTCGGCTTGATTTTATATCATTTTAAAAAAATGTTCATCACATTAACTGTAAAAATCACATTAACTTTGCTCACTCTTTCTCTCTCTCTTTGCTTATTTTCATCTCTCTCTCTCTCTCTCTCTCTCTCTCTCTCTCTCTGTGTGTGTGTGTGTGTGCATTAAAAAAATAATTCAGTTAATAACAGTTTATATACAGTATTTATATACAGTTTTCATTATCCTAAAACTGTTTTATTTCTTATTTCTAGGTTTAAATAAACAAAAATGATAATTTATATAGGCTATTTATTTATTTAAGTATGATCTCAGAATTTTAAACCCTACTGTGTCACCAAATTTCTTTATTATTTTCAAATAATCATTAAATAAATGATTATTATTAGCCTATTCCACAATTGCTTATTTTATAGCATGGCTCAGTGTTCACCCGTATCATTGCTCAGACTATAATTCAACACTCAGACAGACTGTAATATGAGCAGAATGAAATCTGTCTTCTGCTGCAGGAGAAACTCTCTTTCCCCACACAAGCAGCTCAACATAGAGACACACGGCTCATTTCGACACACCGCTGCTGTTGCTGGCAGTGTAGATTTACTGAATGTTCTTGGCACAAACACAATATAAACATCTCATGTAGGCCACTTTGTTAAAGTGTGAAAGGATAAAAAAGGGAACCTGATGGACAGACAGATCATGGTCAGTCTATTCACGTTCAGCTTTTGATTAGTCAACATGCTCCCTGCTAATGATTCAAATGGCTGAAATAAAATTATGTCCAGCAGGACTTCCTCTTTTTTGCATGATTCAGGTTGCAGATTTTTAGCATATAGTGAAGTTTATAGTCAGCCGGATGTCTGGTGTGTCGGATGTTCACAATTGTATTTTTCTTCTCATACATTTGACTTAATATTTTTCAGATGTTAGTGTAGATTGCATTTAAATCCACAAGCTATTTTTTTTTTATTAATACAATGATTAAATGAAATGTTGATTCTCTATACAGTATCACAAGGCAACTATCATGCACAAAGCAACTTTTTTTAAGTATGCAGAGACATAAAATCCAAAATATTTTGCTCTAGGAAATCTTTTGCAAATAAAATCGACAGTACTTTATGAATATAAATGTGGCAGGTCGAATAGTATTGATACTGCAGCATTATCTCATGTTTATGCGTGTGAATAATGAATAAATGTACATCGGCAATAACTGATTTGTGTTCGTGCATTTCCAAATGACTGTATTTCCGATTATACTATATTTTCAGGGTCGGAAATGTTGTTTTTGGAACAATGTCTGGTTGCTGTTCGGTATGAGTTTATCATTGTCTTGCGTTTATTAATATGATCATGAAATGCAGAAGTGTTGTAGTCAGCATTGCTCATCAGGATCTGAATGTGAGCGTATACAGCCTTTGAAGGAGGAATTACATGCACAAAGCAACTTTTTTTTAAGTATGCAGAGACATTATAAAATCCAAAATATTTTGCTCTAGGAAATCTTTTGCAAATAAAATCGACAGTACTTTATGAATATAAATGTGGCAGGTCGAATAGTATTGATACTGCAGCATTATCTCATGTTTATGCGTGTGAATAATGAATAAATGTACATCGGCAATAACTGATTTGTGTTCGTGCATTTCCAAATGACTGTATTTCCGATTATACTATATTTTCAGGGTCGGAAATGTTGTTTTTGGAACAATGTCTGGTTGCTGTTCGGTATGAGTTTATCATTGTCTTGCGTTTATTAATATGATCATGAAATGCAGAAGTGTTGTAGTCAGCATTGCTCATCAGGATCTGAATGTGAGCGTATACAGCCTTTGAAGGAGGAATTATGATTTGAGCAATCATGTCTCGTCACGTTTCATGCTTTTTTAAGCCTTAAAATTGGGTAGAAATGTTTGCATTTCTGCACTTCTGTGTGATAAATCTTTACAATGAGCCACATATTGTGCATTAAATGGAACTTAAGACTGAAAATTCCAGGCCTTCTGAATCCTGATGACTCTTCTGATGAGACAGTAATGCTGTCGGACAATAAATGTGGAAGAGGAAGTTTGTCTGTGTGTCAGAGGTGAGGCACAGAGGTGATCGTGTCTGCGGTTGGTCTGTCTGTATGTTTCAGCGCATGCCAAAATATCCAGGTTGGATTGTTTAATAATATGAATGTATAAGCCATAATCACAGATTCAAAAGAGAGATGCTCATTAAACCCCCATTTTGTTTGATGGATTTCTCTCTCATGTAGCCTCTGATCAAAAATATATTGTGTAGTTATTCTCTCATTATTGCAACAATTGTGGAAATGATTTTATTATTTCAGATGCATTGAGTTATGCGGACCAACGGTCAGTTATACGGTTTATTTGGTTTAGCGCCATGTAATAAGATGATATATTATAGACTGTGAGCTGAACTCATGTCAACACAAAGCAGCTCGTCTTGAAGTCTGTCTCAAATGTGTCTAAAATAGAGCAGATACTGGAAGCTATATTTGTTTTGGGCACTTAAAATGATTTTTCACTGCAGATTTAATTGGAACTGAAAGAGTGCAGCTACATTATATCATCTTCAGTAACACTAATATCACTAACTTAAAGAAAGGTAGTTATAAACTCAAATACTGCTAAGTTTGCTAAATAACAGCTTGTAGATATTGCATTGGACCTGTAAGAAACCGAAAACATCCTGAGTGTTAAACAACAGGATGAGTGCCTTTAAAGCAATTTATAGTTATATTTTCTCTTGTTGAAAAAGTTTTTAAGCAGCTTTTGACATTGCATAAAAAAATGTCAAAGAAAGTCCCTGTGTCTGTGCTCAAATGATACAAACTTCACTTTGCAGAGACGTTTAGCCTTTTCCCACCTTTTACATTATATTTGTTTTACTTTTAATCATCTTAACATCAAAGTGAGAGCTCAGTTTCCCTCAAGTTCAAACAGGTGTTTTAGGAGAGAACCCCCAGATGCAGTTCACACCTGCGTTTCACAACCACAAACCGTCACAAGTATTTTATCTTCATTTTCAACACTATAGTTGTTGTTTTATCACTTTTGAGACGTTTTCAGCTTGAAGCATGTATTTGTGCTGTGTTTCTGTAAAAATAAATTGATAGTCTGTTATACAAAGACATCCAGACTGTATTCTATATTCTGTGCTGTATTACTCAGTAATTTGAACCTCTTGATTGAATATTTGTAAAATTTATATTTTATTTAGTCATAGCATGGGCTGGGGTTTTTAAATTGAGGGCTGTGAAAAAGTGAAAAAAAAAAACAACAACTGTAAAATAACCTAAACAAACTAATAGGCCTACATTTGATTTAAAATAATTTAAAAAATAAAAAGATGAATAAATAAATAATTAGTAAATAAATAGCAGTTTAAAAAGTAAATAATACAGTAACTAACAAAAACAACAACAGCAAAAAAGCTGTAGGATTTACTTTTTAAAAAAAACAATTTTCACTGAAATTTGTAAAATGTAGCAGTTTTTAGAAATTAATTTTACAAATAATTACAAAAAAAATGGCAAATATCACATTGAATTAGACGTGAAATTTTGAAGAAGAAAGTCTGAGATAGTATTTTCTCGTAAAACATAGGCTACTTCTAAAAAAAAAAACTGCTGGAACCAGTCTAAGCTGGTTGGCTGGTTTTAACTGGTCTTCCAGCCTGATCATAGATAGTTTGCAGACTAGTTTTAGAGGGGTTTTGATCACTTTTTTTAGCTGGTCAGTCTGGGAGACCAGCTAACCAACCAGCTAAAACCAGCTCACCCAGACTGGGAGACCGGCTCAAACCAGCTAAAACCAGTCAACCAATAGGCTGGTTTTATCTTTTCTTTCTTTTTTCCAGCAGGGATATAGTCTGTTTATTTACAAGTCTGTAAAATAATTTTGACGGTGTAGCCTATAAACAAATGTAATAATGTAAATATTTACATTATAAGACACTATAGATCATGACATACTCATAGATCGATTACAAAACTATACAGGTATTCAAGGGCAGGCTTTAAGATGGTTTAGATCCTACCTGTCCGATCGCTACCACTTTGTTCATTTAAATGGGGAGTCATCTCAATTATCACCAGTAAAATATGGAGTGCCACAAGGATCTGTCCTAGGTCCTCTGCTATTTGCAATATACATGTTGCCCCAGAAAGGAAAACTTGAAATCGCATTATATGACCCCTTTAAACAGGATATAACAAACCTCCTAAAAAAAAAAAAGAGATAATTTTTGTACTTTTTTTGCCATCTTGTTGTCAGAAATGACTGGCCTATACAAGAAATTGCTTATGAATGCTTATAAATTATAGCATATATTATTTATATATGTGTACTATATAAATATTGCATTCAATCCTTTTATCAGCTTGTTTTCTTTCAGTTAGCACAGGTTTTCACTCAGAAACTGAGGTGCATAAGCTCAGATCAGTTAGGCCTACGATCAGTCAGTTCCAAAAAGAAACCCAAAACCTATGATAGAAAAACCTTGAAAGAAAACAAGTTGACAATCCAAGGCTTGGTGATAATCTAGCATAATGAGAGATTTACAAGCAATTTTTTTGAAAGGCTGGTCGTTTTTGACCTGCAACAACATTAGGATTTTCAGCACAGCACAATTAATGCTAATTGCACATGCAGTTGCGCTTGTATCTGTAAACTTTACGCATGATCAACAGAAACACTGACATCTCTCTGTTTCTTTCTGAAGCAGCAATGATGCCTGGTCAAATCCCTGATCCGTGGATGACGGCCGGTTCTCTGCCCAGCGTCGGTCCTCTGGCTGGCATTCCCGCCACCACCCTGACAGACCAGCTCAAACTAGCAGAGCTCTACAGCCTCGGTGCTGTTCTGTCTCCTCTCATCCTGAACAGACAGGCCAAGAGACCTTTCGACGTCAGCCAGGGTGAGGTGAGAACAAAACCTGACATTTAACACCTACAGACATTAAAGGCCAGGTTCTGATTGCATCTGGCAATTCAAAACGCAGATTGCATGTTAAAATGCAGATCGTTTCTTTAGTTAACAACATATGTGCAACAGTTTGAGAAAGTGAAACCAATGTTCTTTTGTTTGTGAGCGCTTTACTGCCTGGTCAAGACTGACACCTGGTGGACACAATCATTTTTGTGCATCTGCTTATTTGTCTTATTTGTCCTGCTTAGGGTGATTATAATGGACTTCCATATCACTATAAAAAATATTGTGCATTATTATAATAGCTATAAAACAATTAGAAATGACACACTTTTCAATGCATCTGAAAAATTGGGGTTTTAGAACCATGTAAACACTTTAGTGTCATTTCAATATGTATAAATTAATATGCAAATATTTAAACAAACCCATTTGAACTTTCTGTCCACAGTCAGATGACGATGAAGAACGCAAGAAAAGAAGGCGAGAGAAAAATAAAGTTGCAGCTGCTCGCTGTCGAAACAGAAGGAAGGAAAGAACCGACCTTCTCCAGAAGGTGAGTTAGAAAATAGCCCTTTTGAGGATTTACTATCAGAGTCACTGAGGGGAAAGAAGAAAAAAAGGAGTAAAACTTTATTTTACAGTGTTCTTGTTTCACATATTACTTGTTACTATTATTAATGACTATAGGTGACTGTGGTGTGGCATGGTGTTATTCATCTAAAAGTTATCTTATATTTCTTTTATTTAAAAATTCTAATGCTTATGTAATTTTTATGCATGCCATTTAAAAAAAAAAAAGTATGATATTGAGTTAACGATTACATGGAATATTTGTGCTTTTAATAATTAATTTGTCACATTGAAGAACTATTTAAAATTTACTTAAAAATATATATATTTAAAAAATATTTAAAATGACATTTTATTAAAATCTGATATTTGTGTAATTACGTATGCCATGTAAATTTTTTTTTTTTTTCATTTTTTTTTTCATTATATTAATTCAGAGTTAAGATGGAATATTTAAATATAACTTTTTAAAATGAATGTGTCATTACAAAACTATTAAAAAAAAAACTAGTGAGGGTTAAAACGTCATTTTATTTCAAAAATATATATGATACTTATAATTATTATGCATGCCATTTTTATTAAATTATTTATGTTTACTTTTTTTATGATATTAACTGAGATTACATGAGATTTTTGTGCTTTTAAAAAGGAATGTGTCACATCATAGGACTATTTAAAATGAACTAGTGAAGGTAAAAACGTAATTAAAATGAAATTTTATTTTTTTTAATGTCATTTTATGTAAAAAAAATAAATAAATCTGATATTTGTATAATTATTATGCGTGCAATTTTTGATATAATTCCTTATAATATTACATGAAATATTTGTGCTTTTAAAAATTAAATTATTACATAAAAAAATGTATATAACAACTACCCAGTAATATTATAACATAATATAACATAAGTACAAGCAGCTCAAAAAATGTACATCAAGCTCACATTGTTCATTAGTATTACTCTGTAGTTAGTTTTCTAAATAACCAGTAACATGAACACTGTAAAATAGTGTGACTGAAAAATCAAAGTGTTTTTTTTGTCTCAACAACTTAATAAATGTGTCTGTTGAGGCATTATAATGAACCAAAAGCTGTCTGGCTGCTCCTCTAGGAGTCCGAACGGTTGGAGACGCTGAACTCGGAGCTGAAGTCTCAGATCGAGGAGCTGAAATCTGAGCGGCAGCAGTTGATCGTGATGCTCAACCTCCACCGGCCCACCTGCATCGTCCGCACAGACAGCGTGAAAAGCCCCGAGAGCGACCAGCGATCCGAGCAGTCCGACTGAACACCACACCAGAAACACCGAGCCGAGAGGAGAACAGACGCTGTGGGGATGCTAGATGAAGATGAAACCGCAGGACGTTTATTGTCCGTGTCAAATTCAGCATGAAGAAAAAGGGGAGGAGATTTGTGTGGACCGCAAACAAACATCCCTGAGATCATGCAAAAAGCTCCCAGACGTTTGACACGCGGTCATAAAGCTGCAGGTGTGGAGTCTCTCAGTTGATCCGAATGAAGTGCGTGATTCGTCCAGCGGCCTGCAGATGGCGCTGTCTGATAAACTGTTCACTGACGCTGGCGTATCCACGGATTGATTGTTTACAGTTGCATTGACATAGTCTATTGAATGTTATGTCTATTGTATGTACATTTTTATTGTGCCATCACATGATATGGTGACTTGTATGTATTTTTATCTTTAGGGTGTCTGTTGAACGGCCACTTTTGTTACCAAATAATGTTTCTTTGTTATGTAAAACCACATTAAAATAAAACCTATTTTTCAAATACAACATGACTCATGCATTCATTCCTTCGTTAATGTATTCATTAAATCTTTCATTTTTCTTTCATTCTTCCTTTCTTTTATTTATTTATTTAAAATGTTTTATTTATTTGTATATCATTTTAAAATATGATTTATTTTATAATATTTAAAAATATATAATTTATTATTTTTTATTACTGGAATTCTTATTTATTATTTTTTGTATTTTAAAATATTAATTTAATTAATTTAATTTAATAAAATATTTTTAAATATTATTTTAAAGTATTGTTTATTTTTCAATATTATTAATATTTTATATTATTTAAAAATAATTTTTAATATTAATTTAAAAGATTAATAATTATTTTGTATTGTTTTATTATAATACAATATTAATTATTTTAATATTATTATTATTATTTTTAATCTCTTTATTTTAATTTTCTTGAAACTACACACACAATGTCACAAAATAGCTACTATACAGGAAAAATACGTCATCAAGCACCCTTAACTGTAACACTGTACAATACATGACTTTGGTGCCAAGAACATTAAAGCTTTATATTAGAACACCCACCCCCCATACAAGGCTCAGGCTCCAAGTCGACAGAATACACTTCAGAAAGAAATTTAAATATACATTTCCAAAATGGCTATACCCATGTTTCCATTGAAAAAAGATCGTATCATGTAACCCCGGAGGAAAAGCATGATTATTACAGATTGGGGTATTCAGATATAAATCTGGAATTTTCAAATATACCTTGATTTGTTTCCATACTTTAACTAGGTTTGAAATGACTATATTACCATCGACATTTTTGACTTCAATTTTGATGGGACATTAGATACAGATGGTTGATTTTTACATTACAAATGTTATGCTTGCATCACTCTTACACAACTTTCTTTCTTTTTTTCCCTTTCACTGTTTGTTTTTTTTCAGTAAACTCTGTTTGTGGAAATTAAATGTTGTCACATAGAAATTAACTTGACAAAACCAGGTTATTTCCACTGAGGTTTCCATTGACTTACAGCTATGGTTTCCATTGATCCTGTTGTTTTTTTCTTTCAGAATTTTGTCATTTTGATACAGTTTTCCACTATCCTACATAGTACAATGACCTCAAAATGTATTTGGACACTTAAGACATGAATATTTGACCAAACATGGATTCGGATTATGTCAAAAAACTTTTGTTCTCTTCATTCTGAATAGTAAATCTGTTGGTTTATCATTTGCGAAATGTTTGATTTGAAAAGTCGAACGCAGTGACATTCATGTGTTTGTACATGTCAATTAATTTGTGTTTTAGGGCTGCTATGTAATTTATAATGAAAACAGCTGAAAGTCGGCTTGAGTGGGTTGCTTGTTGTTTGTTCATTTTCTGTCTTTAGTACTTTTTGTCATGTCAGAATTGGGTTGATCAGCTTTCTTGAGGTCTGGCTTCAGACTTTCTCGCTCTGAAAGCTGCTTTGATCAAATGTCTGACCTTCTGCTCAACAGTTCCAGTCTTTTAAAAATGCGTCTTTTTGGCAGAACATGTTTCTCACGTGGGCGGTTGTCAGAATCTGCTCTTCACTCTGTTTCTCCAAGCGCTTGAGGGAGAAAAAAAAATGTTGGTCGGGTGCCATTGAGTCCTACCTCAAGAACTGTGAGATTTCAACAGACAGATCTGAACACAAACAGCTCCAAATCACTCATGAGAGCGACCGCAGTGACCTAAAAACAGCACAGAAATCCATCGAATATTATTTTAAACCTCCAGTGTTTCAGTATTTGCTTATTTATTTCAATATTTAATTTGTTTGCATTTTTTCAGTATTTCAGTAGGTTATTCAGTTATTCAATCATTTATTCTGTATGATTCTGTATTATTTTTGTGTTATTTATTCATATTTTTTAGCTTCCTTATTTATTTATTTATTTATTTATGCAGGTCAGGTTTTCAGTATTCCATTTTTTTAAATTTTATGTTTCACTACTTCAGTTGGTTATTCAGTTTTTTTTTTTTATTAGATTTTTTTTTTAACTCAGGTTATTCAGTTATTCATTAATTCAATATTCTGTATGACACTGTTTTTCTTTCCTTCCTCATGTCAGTGTTTCAATTTTCCATTTTTTTGTATTTTAATTTTCATTATTTCAGTAGGTTATTCAATAATTTAATATTTAATTGTCAATATTTTTTGTATTTACTATTTAAATATTTTTTTCATATTTCAGTGTCTTAATGATTATATTTCAGCGTAAGTACTTGAATATTTAATTTTTTCAATTTTAATTTTCATTATTTCAGAAGATTATTCCTTAATTCGGTATTTTAAAATGTAAATATATTTGTAATTAATATTTCAGTTTTCTTATATTTTAGTTTTCTTATTTATTTATTTGTTCGTTTGTTTGTTTGTCTGTCTGTTTTACCATGCCATTTGCAATATTTCAGCTTTTTGCATTTTATTGTTTTGAATATTTCAGTTTTTTGTATATTTATTGTTTTGTTAATCAGTAATTTAATATTTCATATTTTTAGTATTTATATTTCATATTTAGTATTTCAGTTTTTTTATATTTCAGCAGTTTCTTATTTGTTTGTTTACTTATTAATTTTATTTTTCAGTATTTCAGTAGGAAATATTTTAATATTTCAGTATTTTAAGCAGGCACCAGCAGTTATAAGACAATATTTCATTTGTACAATAGTGAATATAAACACTCAATGAGCTCCAGTTTGGTTATAAGTTGGTACTGAGCTGGTGCTCGGCAGGAGCTAGTTGCTCAGGACCAGCTTAAACCAGTTCATGACCAACTAAGGACCAGCTTAAACCAGCTCAAACCAGCATGCTTCAAAACATACCTAACCAGTATATGCTGTTTTTTTCAACAGGGTTCATCTGGACAACCTCCTGTCACAGGGTTTCAGTCACCTGAAAGTGGCCCGCCATCTTGCAATCTCAGTGAAAATTGGAGGAATGCTACCAGTTAATTGTCATATAATTAAGGAAATTTGCACCAGGTGCCAGATTAACACCAATAACTTGGCGGTATCTGTAAGTGTTCTCTAATTTTAACCCGAAGGTTGTGGGTTTGAGTCTCAGGTCCGGCAGGAATTGTCGGTGGGGGGAGTGAATGTACAGCGCTCTCTTCCACCATCAATACTACGACTAAGGTGAGACCCTTGAGCAAGTCATAGGTTTTTTTTTTTTTCAAATATATCATTTACAGTTTTTCTCGAGTGCTTAAACACATTTCTTGAAACTATGCCTCATATTCTCAAAACAGTAAACACAAATCCATAACGTCTCACCCAATTCCCCAAACATCCTATTTTCAGGTCAAAATGAAGCTCTACACTCAAAACCATTCACTCTTGCTGAA